CCTAATTTGCCTAGCCGATGTTAACTGCCAGTTTGTTCTCTCTCTCTCTCTCTCTCTCTCTCTCTCAAAATCCTCACTCGTATTTCCTGCTATTTACAACCCATGGATTGTCACCCTGCCACATCAAAATAACCACGTCAAAGGCTGAACTTGTCTTCCTTCCCAAGACCTTTGCCCTTCCATATTTCCCAGGTTTCCTAGTCAAACTTCCTATCCTACCCCCAAGGTTCTCCAGCTCTACCTCCTTTATTCCCACAGCTATTCAAGTATTACATGTGTTCACTTCTGCATGTGGGAATTCACAGTGTCCACACACCCTAGCTGTGCACTTTATTTTTAAAATATATTTTATGGATTTTTTTACAGATAGGAAGTTAGAGGGATAGAAAGTTAGAAACATTGATCAGCTGCCTCTTGAACACCCCCTACTGGGTATATGCCCACAACCAAGATACATGCCCTTGATCGAAATCGAACCCTGGACCCTTCAGTCTGCAGACCAACACTCTATCCACTGAGCCAGTCCGGTTTTGGCTATGTGTGCACTTTAATGCATATACCCTATTTTTTATTTTACAAATCAGTGGTGTCCCCTGCTGTGTGAGCTTCTAGAATAGAGGAATGTTGCTGGTTTGGTTCTACAAACATTATAAAGATACTAGAGGCCCGACGCATGAAATTTGTGTGTATGTGGGGGGGTGTCCCTCAGCCTAGCCTGCAACCTCTCCAATCTGGGACCCCTCGAGGGATGTCTGACTGCCTGTTTATTTTTATTTTTATTTAAATATATTTTATTGATTTTGTACAGAGAGGAAGGGAGAGAGATAGAGAGTTAGAAACATCAATGAGAGAGAATCATCGATCAGCTGCCTCTTACACACCCCCTACTGGGGATATGCCTGCAACCAAGGTACATGCCCTTGACCAGAATCGAACCTGGGACCTTTCAGTCCCCAAGCCGACGCTCTATCCATTGAGACAAACCGGTTTCGGCCCGATTGCCTGTTTAAACGGGACTGCTAGCTCCCAACTGCTCACCTGCCTGCCTTCCTGATTGCCCCTAACCGCTTCTGCCTCCCAGCCTGATCACCTCCTAACCACTCCCCTGCCAGCCTGATTGCCCCTAACTGCCCTCCCCTACAGGCCTGATCACCCCTAACTGCCCTCCCCCTGCAGGCCTGGGTTCCCCTCCCCCCCCAACTGCTCTTCCCTGAAGGCTGGTTGCCCCCAATTTTCCTCCTCTGCCAGCCTGGTCACCCCTAACTCCCCTCCCCTGCAGGTTGATCTCCCCCAACTTTCCTCCCTTGCAGGCCTGGTCCCTCCCAACTGCTCTCCACTGCTGGCCTGATTGCCCACAACTGCCCTCCCTTGCAGAGCTGGTCCCTCCCAACTACCCTCCTCTGCTGGCCATCTTGTGGAGGCCATCTTATGTCTATATGGGAGCAGGAACTTTGACCATATAGGGACAGCCATCTTGTGTGTTTGAGTGATGGTCAATTTGCATATTACTTTTCTATTGGATAGGATAGAGACCTGGTGCATGGATGGGGGCCAGCTGGTTTGCCCTGAAGGGTGTCCCAGATCAGGGTGGGGATTCCCTTGGGGCATGGGGCGGCCTGGGTGAGGAACCTGTGGTGATTTGCAGAATGGCCACGCCCCCTAGCAACCAAAGCAAAGGCCCTGGTATCTGGGATTTATTTATCTTCTATAATTTAAACTTTGTAGCCTTAAGTGGAGGCCAAGGCAGGCCAGGGCAGGCGGAAAGCTTAGTTTCCTCCATTGCCAGGGAAACCTCCTGCTCTCTCTGTGGCCACAGCCATCTTGGTTGGGTTAATTTGTATACTCACTCCTGATTGGCTGGAATGTGTGGCGTGTGGGTTTGGCAGAGGTATGGTCAACATGCATATTACTCTTTTATTAGACAGGATAGCATTGGTGGTAGTGCCAGCCTGTCATCTTTCTTGCCAATCATGAATGTTGACACTGAGGTTATTTTTCCAATGCTTGGCTTCTACTACTTGATTCCCCAACTATAAACTATGTAATGGGATTCCAGTGTTGTATGTCTTAGTCTATCTCAGAACCTGCTAAAGGCACGTGGAGCCCAGCTTAGGAAAGGTGTCACTCAGTGGTTATTGCAACTGTAAAACAATAAATCAACAGCCATATTTTGGTTCAATTTCCTGATCTCTGAAAATTATAAACAACCTGTATAAATTACTAGTTCCTGGGCTGTCTTACCTACTTTACAGGTTTATTATGAAAATTATAGAAATCATTTATATAAAAGTGCTTTTTGATAAGTGAAAATTCAGTGTGTAAATGTAAGATAGCAATGGTACTCTATTGCCTTATTTCCCTTGTTTTATTCTTTGGGTCCATCTGGTGTTTTCCAGCCAAGTTTCTTTTGTCCCCGTTCCTTCTGGTTCAGCCCTAGCCTATACTATTCTTATTGTTATCAAAATAACTTCTTTTACTTCTTAAACTAGGATCCACCCTTCCCCTCTTTCAAAGCACAGTTCAGAGGCACCTCCTGTGGAAAAAGTTTCCAGTCTTGCAGAAGGAAATGATAATTTTTTAACAAAGAATCAACCAATGAATGCATAAGTGGAACAAGAAATCAATGTTTTGCCGTAACCGGTTTGGTTCAGTGGATAGAGTGTCAGCCTGCAGATTCAAGAGTCTCAGGTTCGATTCCGGTCAAGGGCATGTATCTGGGTTGCAGGCACATCCCCAGTAGGAGGTGTGCAAGAGGCAGCTGATCGATGTTTCTAATTCTCTATTCCTCTCCCTTCCTCTTTGTTAAAAATCAATAAAATATATTTTTTAAAAAGAAATCAATGTTTTTTTCTCACTCCCCTTTCTCTCTAAAAAGATCAATTAAAAATTTTTAAATGGCTGAAACTGGTTTGGCTCAGTGGTAGAGCCACTGCGGACTGAAAGGTCCCGGGTTGATTCCGGTCAAGGGCATGTACCTTGGTTGCGGGCACATCCCCTGTAGGGGGTGTGCAAGAGGCAACTGGTTGATGTTTCTCTCTCATCGACATTTCTAGCTCTCTATCTCTCTCCCTTCCTCTCTGTAAAAAATCAATAAAATATATTTTTAAAAATAAATAAAAATAAAAATTTTAAAATGTTTGTACAAATGTGATATATTAAACTTTTAAAAAATATATTTTTATTGATTTCAAAGAGGAAGAGAGAGATAGAAACATCAATGATGAGAGAGAATCATTAATCAGCTGTCTCCTGTATGCCCCCTACTGGGATCGAGCCCACAACGTGGATGGAGCCCTTGACTAGAACAGAACCCCGGACCATTTAGTCCACAGGCTGATGCTCTATCCATTGAGCCAAACCATGAAGAAATTAAGGATGACTTACTCAAGGCAAGTAAGTGATTAAAAAAGAGGAAGGAGCCCTGACTGGTTTGGCTCAGTGGATAGAGCATTGGCCTGCCAACTGAAGGATCCCAAGTTCTATTCCAGTCAGGGGCATGTACCTTGGTTGCGGGCACATACCCAGTAAGGGGTGTGCAGGAGGCAGCTGATCGATGTTTCTCTCTCATCCATGTTTCTAACTCTCTATCCCTCTCCCTTCCTCGCTGTAAAAGATCAATAAAATATATATTTTTAAATAAATAAATAAGTAATAAATAAATAAAGGAAGGAGTTACAGATCTGGGTTTGCCACTTACTACTGTTTCCCCGAAAATAAGACATCCTCCGAAAATAAGACCTAGCGCATGGAAAGATAAGACATCCCCTGAAAATAAGACCTAGCGCAACTTTGGGAGAAAAAATTAATATAAGACACTCTTATTTTCGGGGAAACAGGGTAGTACCTATCTCACAAAGTTGCAATATGTGCTGGTTGCTTTTATAAAAATTGAATCAGATCCTAGTTTGTTACTTCTTCCTCAAGAAAGCCTTCACAACCCACTCTAGATCAAGTTTCCATTGATTTCACCAACATCACACACTTCCCTTCCCAGCACTTATCTCAGAATTAATATTACAGTGATGTGCGTGATTATTTGTTTATTGTCTTCTCTCCATAGACTGGGAGCTCTAGCAGAATAATGATGTCTCACCAAAACCGGTTTGGCTCAGTGGATAGAGTGTCAGCCTGCGGACTGAAGGGTGCCGGGTTCGATTCCAGTCAGGGGCATGTGCCTTGGTTGCGGGCGCATCCCCAGTGGGGGGTGTGCAAGAGGCGGCTGATCCATGTTTCTCATCAATGTTTCTGGCTCTCTATCCCTCTCTCTTCCTCTTTGTAAAAAAATCAATAAAATTATATATATATATATATTTTTTTTTTTTTTTTAAAAGAAAGAATAATGATGCCTGTCTTGTTCTCCATAGAATCTCCTGCATTGGATGAGGCGCTTGTCACAGCCCTCTTCAGTTCCGTGGGACAGCCCGGCCTGTGCGGTCCTTGGCTGGGCAACAGCGGGGTGCACCAAAGGTCACGGCTCAATCCTGTCAGGGTCCATGTGGTTGGGATGCATGCAGGAGGCAGCCAATCACGTCTCTCCCTTCCTCTCTCTAAAAATTCAATAAAAGCATACTTTAAAAATGGTCTCTGTTGGATAAATGAGTGAAAACGGAAGCCCGGACTTTCTGATTCACTCCAGGTTTGACTCACAGGCTGGGGAAAATACGTTACAGCGCTGAAGGGCGGGATAAGGTAACGTGTAAGTTACTCCATTGGGATGAACTATAAATCTCAAAGGACCGCCGCAGGGACGTCGTAGACACAGTTCCGAGGACACAACTTCCCCCGAGGAAGTATCCACCCCTGAGGATGCCTACGATGACCATCGTCCCTTCTGGGGCAAAAATCGCAGCCGCAATCTCGCCCTTCTCTTCCGTACAGTGACCCAAGATGGCGGGGCCCGTGATTGGAAAACCAGGTCCAACATGGCGGCTTCCTACTTCCTCTCACGGAGTAGCGCGTGGCCGCCGAGCCCCGCCCACTTCCGGTCCCGCGCCCGCAGCATGGCTGCTTTAGGTACCCTGCTCCGCAGTAAGTGGGCGCGGGAGCACGCGTGGGGCGCGGGGCCTGGGACCCCCGGGCTGGCCGCACGGCCCCTCTCTCGCCTCTGCCGTCTTCCCAGCAGGTGCCCGGAGGCTGCACGGCAGCGCGGCGGCGCGGGTGGGGAGTGAGTGGAGACTCCAGTGAGTGTGGGTTTGGGGGAAGGGAAGACGGGGGTCCCGACACTGCGGAATCCTAACCGAACTGTTCTTTTCCCCCAGGCAGGGCATGGCCGCCAACCCCTCGGGCTACGGGCCCCTGACGGAGCTTCCAGACTGGTCCTACGCGGGTGAGCGCCGATCTGGTCTGATGGTTGCACCCGGAGAGCACGCCCTGCAGAGAGCGGGGAGCGGGGAGAGGGTGGAAAGAGGGGTGTCAAGGTGGCGGTATGTCTGAGTGAACAATGTATTGAGCTTTGTTGGGGGAAGAAGCCCTCTTGTTTATTTTATAAATTAAACTAGGGCCAGGCCGATGGGAAATAAAGCTGGACGGGTCTTTTCGGCTTGTGCAGATCAGCAGAAACAGTTCTGACTTGGAGCGCCCCGCCCCGCCCCCCATGCCAGGGAGAGAGTGGACAGACTTTCCTGTTTCTCAAAGGGTGGTGTGGTTCTTAGAAAGTGCTCTGTGCTGAGTGCATTATTGAGAATTTGGTACCAAATGCAGAGAGAGCTCTTGGAAAGGCTGCCAACGTGAGCATCATAGAAAGTGTAGAAAAGTGAATAGTGGGGATGGTGGCCGCCCTGCAGAAAGGTCTCTTCCCTTTATTATTTGCAAAAACAAAAAAAGATATATATTTTTAATTATTTCAGAGATGAAGGGAGAGAGCGAAACATCAGTGATGAGAGAGAATAGTGGATTGGCTGCCTCCTGCACACCCCCCACTGAGGACCTGTTCCCTGAAGACCAGGAATCCAACCTACCCGGAATCCAGCGTCACCTTCTGGTTCATAGGTCTATGCTCAACTACTGAACCACACAGGCTGGGCTCTTCCCTTCACTCCAGTTTACAGATAGGAAAATTGAGGCCTAGAAATGTGAATTGCCTGTGGTCACCCACTAGAAAAGAGCAAAGCCAGGACTAGAACAGGGCAGAGGCCAGGCCCCCTTCAACAGCACACAAACCTGAGTATTAGTACCCTGTTGGATTTTACAGGAGTATGACTTTGCCTAATTGGAGAGTTGCTGCCTGAGGAGGACGGTGAAGATTTTTTTCTACTTGTCATTTATTAGGATCTTCTTGAAGTAGTATGGAATATCGGGAAGACTCTGGAATTTGGAATTGGTTCATTTTTGGTTGTTGTTAATCCTTATCTGAGCATATTTTTCCATTGATTTTTAGAGATAGTGGAAGGGAAGGGGAGAGACAGAGAGAGAGAGAAACATCTATGTAAGAGAGATACATAGATTGGTTGCCTCCTGGACATACCAGACCAGGGCTGGGGATTGAGCCTGCAACCAAGGTACGTTCTCTTGACCGGAATTGGAATCAAACCCAGGACCTTTCAATCTGCGGGGGCCAATGCTTATCCATTGAGCCAAACTGGCTAGGGCTGGGATTGATTCTTTTTTTCTTTTTTTTTAATATGTTTTTATTTATTTCAGAGAGGAAGGGAGAAGGAGAGACAGAAACAACAATGATGAGAATCATCAATTGGCTGCCTCCTGAATGCCTCCCACTGGGAACTGAACCCACATCCCAGGCATATGCCCTTGACAGGAATCAAACCCTTCAGTCCTCAGGCTGACGCTCTAACCACTGAGCAAAACCAGCCTGGGCCGGAATAGATTCTTAATCTAGGCTTCTCTAGTTGCTAACTATGGGTCTTGGTCAAGTTACTTAATTGTATCTCTCAGTTTCCACGTCTGTAAAAAAAAAAAAAAAATACCTATCTCATATGGTTCTTGTAAGGATAAAATAAAATGACCGATGAAAACACCTCTCATACACAACATTGGTTCCCTTTATTGATAAATAATATCTCTTACTTGTCTTGCCTTCAAACATTTGGGCAGAGAGTTCACTCTGTTTCTTTGTTGAAAATGCCCTTTTCAACTCCATTATAAGTCATTTGAGATAGTTTATAGCAAGTCTGTAGATGTTTATGAAATTTTTATTATGTGCATATGTGCCTACACTACACTATAGTGAAAGCTTAGCAATACAGTCCCTGATCCCAAGGAACTAAAGTCTAGCTGGGAAAACAAAGCATGGACATTTAAAAATATATATATATTATTGATTTTTTTACAGAGAGGAAGGGAGAGAGATAGAGTTAGAAACATGGAGAGAGAAACATTGATCAGCTGCCTCCTGCACGCCCCCTACTGGGGATGTGCTGGAAACCAAGTTACATGCCCTTGACCAGAATTTAACCTGGGACCTTTCAGTCAACAGGCTGATGTTCTATCCACTGAGCCAAACCGGTTTGGGCCAAAGCATGGACATTTTAAAAATTAAGTGATAACACTTCAGTTCTCTGCTCCTTTCCAAAATAATTAGAGATGACTAAATAAAGTTAAAAACAATAGTACAATAAATGTCACAAGGCAAATAGATGAATATTAAATGAATGATATACACTTTTTCTCTTTATTGTGATGAGAAACAATTTTCCTTTATAGAGTGGCCCCCCTGATATTTCAAGTACCCCCCACCCGCCTGTACATAACTATTATAATATTAATTTTTTTTCTCCCATTAACCTCTCCCCTGCCACTCCTATCCCCCAGCACATGCCCCCACTGCACCCCCGCCCCCCAGTGCCTGTGTCCATTGGTAATGCTTGTATACATGCATACGAGTCCTTTGATTGATCTACCCCCACCTTCCCTCTGAGGTTTGACAGTTCAATGCTTCTCTGTCTCTGGATCTATTTTGGTTCATTAGTTTGTGTTACTCATTATATTACACAATTCAGTGAGATCATGTGATATTTATCTTTCTCGGACTGGCTTATTTCACTTAGCATAATGTTCTCCAGTTCCATCCATGCTGTTGCAAATGGTACGAGTTCATTCTTTTCTACAGCAGCATAGTATTCCATTGTGTAGATGTACCATAGTTTTTTAATCCGTTTCTTGGCACTTAGGCTGTTTCCAAATCTTAGCTATGGTAAATTGTGATATGCACTTTTTTTAAGAGAGTTTTAAGAGGTTAAAGAAGGGTTTCTGGGACAGGTAGGGCTTGAGGTGTGCCTAAGGATGAGAATTTGGCTGGAAGGAAAGGCAAGAGGTGTTGTGGAGGAGTTAGGTGGAATTTAACAAAGATTCAGGGTGAATAGAACAATGATCAGTTTGCTTGAGTGGGGGCTTTGTGAGGATAAAACAGGTGATTCAGCATTGCAAAGAACCTTGAATTCTAGGCTAATAAGGGGTGAGATACTATAGGGAAAAGCTCAGGAGCTTATTCTTGGTGGTTCTGGCATACTTCACCCTTGAAGATTAAGTGTTTTCCAGTGAGTGTGAAATGGAAGAGGAGCTAAAACCTGTTTTTTCCCTCCTTTCTGTCTGCTGTTGCAAGGTGCTGCAGGCCATATCTAACATTTGCCTTTTCTCTCATGTCTATTCCCAGATGGCCGCCCTGCTCCTCCGATGAAAGGCCAGCTTCGAAGACTAGCCCAAAGAGAGAAATTCGCAGTGAGTTGCTACAGCCCCATCCAGGGCAACCTGCATGTAATCTGAGGGACAGAGTTTAAATTGTAATTTGTCTTGAGCTGTGTTGACACCTAAGCTAACATGTACCCCTCACACTGTTTTGACAGGCAAGGTTTTAACAGTACTGTGAGAAGGAAGGAATACAGGGATACTCCCAGGGCAGGAGCCAGGAGCAGACACTGCCACACATTTACTGTCTTCCCCCTGCTTCCCATCCCAGGACCCGGCCCCACCCCTTCCCCAGTCAGCAGTGTCATTTTCCAGCTGAAACCTCTTGACTTTGATCTGTGAATGAAAGGATATATGGTGCAGAGCTCAAGCCCCAGATGTTATTCACACTGTTTTCCTGTCTGTTTCAGAGACGAGTTGTACTGCTGTCACAGGAAATAGATGCTGGATTAGAGGCATGGCAGCTCAAGCAGCAGCAGAAGGTGCAGGAAGAAGAACAGAAGAAGAAAAACGCTCTTAAACGTAAAGGGGCTGCTCGGCAGAGCCCATCGCCACGTCAATAAAAAGCAACTCCTCTCTCTTTTCCCAGCCTTGTTATTGTTGTTGGACTCCAGGAAGGACGGGTTGTAAGAGCACTGCCTGGAAGGGCTGGCTACAGGCCCTCCCCCCTGGCTCCCTTCCGGTTCAGGGGTATCTTACTCTGGGATATTTACCCGCACCTTAGCAGGTCATAGGTCTGGCCCTACTTTGAGCAGTCACTGCCCTGCAAACATGAAAAGGGGGCCAAGGTTTACTCATCTTAGCCACCATTCAAGCCTTGAAAAACCTATACACAGTTCAGTCTGCATGCAGTTACACATTTAATAAATATTTTTATGAAAAACTTTCCAGCTGAAGTGCATTTCTTGGCAAGCAACTGGTGTCAGTTTTCCCAAGCCAGATCCATGGCCCAAGAGGATCCCAACAGTGGGAAGGCTGACATGGGAAGAACCATACTTGGGTGTTGCATGTTCTAAAGTTTTGGATCTTGAGGTTTCCCTGGTTCTGATTGAATCTTAGAAATTGATTAGAGAGAGGACTGTCCTGGCCCCAATTTACTTAGGGAGCCCTGGAGATAACCCCAAAAACAGTCATTGTGGGTTAGGTATATCCCATATACCTCCTACAAACCTGTTAGCTGTTCCCCAAGGCCCAGGGAAACCTTTAATTTTTAGGGAGAGAAACATTGATGGGCTGCCTCCTGTACACCCCCTATTGGACATCAAGCCTGAAAACCAGGCGTGTGCTCTGACAGGGAATCAAACCCGGGACCACTTCTTGGTGCATGGGACAACTCAACCAACTGAGCCACACTGGCTGGGCAAAACTTACATCTTATTGATCGTGAATTCTGTGTAGAAAAGGCCTTTACTCTCAATACAGTACACTGGACTTTTTCCCCCCATTTTCATATCACAAACTTGTGTTAGTTCCTGGACTTTTGGAGTTTCTTACCTGACCTAATTTCTGTCCAGCCTCCCAGTTATTCCTTCCCTTGCTTTCTTTCCCTCCCTTCTTCCCCTCTCTCCGACCAATGTATTATATTTCTTGGGTCTTAGATTTTGCTGATGGTTGAGTTTTGTCTCTCACACTTTTCCTGCTTGTTGTTCTGCCTTTCCAGATGTAGTTCTCAGCCTCTTACCAGTCTCCCTTTCTCAGCTGTAGCCTGCCCTCCCCCTTCCCTGCATACCTCCATCTTTTGTTCTCAGAGATTGCTCAGTCCTTGAAGGAGATTTTACCCTTGAAGAAACTGCCTCCTTTTCCAGGGTATGGAATTAAACACTTCCGATCTCTCTAACAATTGCACCAAACTTGATTTGCCTTTTCCCGGATTCCATGGCCTTGCACCCCTTTCCTCCCCAACCAGCTCTAATTTAAGGATCAGCCAGTTTGCAAATGGCATAAGGAGAGCACATTTGTTTTTCTGCAAGGATGGAACTCGCCTGCCCCATTCAGTGTGGTGGTGGGGTTTGTTGATGGGTAGTTGGGCTTTGATATTGGTGTTTTTTTGTTGGTGGTGGTGGTTTGGTTGGTTGGTTTTTATTGATTTCAGAGAGAAAGGGAGAGAGAAATATTAATGATGAGAATCATCGGTTGGCTGCCTACTGAGGATTGAGCTTGCAACCGGGGCACGTGCCCTTGGCCAGAATCCAACAGGGACTCTTTAGTCCACAGGCCGACGCTCCGAGGCAAACTGGCTAGAGCTGATACTGTTTTTGTTTGTTTGCAACAGGGACAGAGGTGATTGTCAAGAATAAGTGACAAAGATTCAATCTGGTTTAATCACAGGTCCCAAGAGACAATCCCCTAACCCAGGTCTCCGGACAAGGAAGACCCAAGACTCTGAACTTGTTTGCCCCAAGTTCTCTCCCAGAACTCCCCCCTCTGAGGTGCGGCAAAGGCTGAACACCGGAGGAATCCACCATCCAAAATGTGCCTGGGGGGAGAAAGTCTCCCACATCCCGTGCCCTTAGGACCCCCGCCCCCACCCGCCGCCACACACACAGCTCCCTGCCCTCGGGCCTCAGGCCCTGGAGATGGCAGCCTTCACCGCAGAAAGTCAACTTAGGTTTGGTTTTTCTTTCTTTTCTTTCTTCTTTTTTTTTTTTACCGGGCTCTTGGCTGTAATTGGATTCGGGCTGAAACAACCACGTCCGCACCGGGAAAGGAGGGCATTGGGGCGTGGGCGGGAGGAGAGGCTGTGGGATAAAGGGAGGGACCAGAGCGGAGAGCAGGAGAGGGCTCGCCATCCAGTCCGCCGACTAAGCAGAAGGAAGACCAGAAAGCGGAGGAGAGGCCACGAGCGCACGGGCGCCCTCGGGAACCACTGCCTCTCCTCCGGGCGGACAGCTCTCCAACAACCCTCACCCGGTGCCTCCCGGGGACAAAGGGTCCGAGGCAGAGGCGGCGCGACCCTCAGGCTCGGCCCCGCCGCGGAGCCCACGCCGCTGCCCGGACCATGTCTCCCGCCGCCCGGCCCGCCCGCCGCCCGCTGCTCCCCCTGCTCGCGCTCGCCGCCGCGCTCGCCGCCCTCGGTTCGGCCCAGAGCAGCTTCAGCCCCGAAGTAAGTGACCCTCCGGCCCTGCCCCAGCCGCGGCCGCGGAGGAGGCGAGCCGGGTCCCCGGGGACGGCCCCGCCGGGGAGGAGCGCTCTCGAGGTCCCGTGTGCGCCGGGCCTGCGGGACCCCTCCTCCCCGTCCCCTCCTCATCCCCAAACTTCCCCGGCGAGCCAACTCCTGCCTCCTCCCCCACCCGCCGCCTCTCCCGCTCCCTTCCCGGGAGGAACTCCACGCCAGCCCCTCTCCCACCTCCCGCTCCCCGGCCCCGGGTCCCGCTCCGCGCTCCGCGCTCCGCTCCGGGGCCAGTGGAGCCTGAGCACCATTTGGACTCCCCTCCGGCCCCGCGCTGCCTCGGTTCTCGTCCTGAGCCAGAGCCGGCCGCTCCTGCAACTTTCCTGCTCCCGCGCGCTCCTGCCCGCGCTGCCCGCGCCGGGGAGGACGGGGGGCCCGGGGGGACGATGGCCCCGGCCCCCCGATGCCCGCTGCCCGCTGCCCCCGGCACGGCCCTCCGCCCGCGCATCAGCCCAGGTGGGGCCGCGGGTGGACGGCGGGGCGGCCCCAGCGTCGAGGGTCCCGGCGCTGCGCCCCGGCCGCCCTTCCGTCCACACAAAGCTCTCCTTGTGAGCGGGGGCCGCCGCCGCCCCCGCCCCTCCCTCCGCGCCTTCAGGCCTTTTTTTTTGTTCATTGTTTTTCTGCGTTAATTGCACGGAGACTGGGCATGTTACACGGGGGGAGTGGGGAGAGGGCCTGGGCCCGGGCGCCCACACAGGTCTTCACTGGCTCCGGTGCCCCCTCCCCCCCAAACACCCATTCGCCGACTTTGGCCCACCCGGCCTGGAGGAAGTGGCGTGGGAGTTGTCTGAGGAGGTTTTTCCTCTCTCTCCCTTTTATTTTGGGGTGAAGGTGGGAGACGGATTTGATCAGCTTCTTATTTTGGGACATCCCAACCCACTCAACCCTGCCTGGGTGCCTGGGTGCGGTCTGGAGGGGCCGGGAAGTGCCCCAGGAGGGGGAGGGGATCTAGACTTGCTTCCTCCAACCCCTCCGGCGCCCGGGTTCCATCCCCAGAGGAAACGTCTCCCCAGAAAGAACACACTCTCTGTCCTGAAGGGATCTGAGGCTGAAAGGAAAGCTGGCCCAAGGAATGGGGGTGCCCGGGGAGTGTGAACATCTGCCCCGTGGCCAATCCTGGCACCAGCCAGGAGGAGGAGGCATCGCTTTCCAGGCATGAAGTGTGCATCTGGGGCCCGAAAGGAGAGCCCTCCACAATAGCCTTGCCGAGGCCGGTTTGGCTCAGTGAATAGAGCGTGGGCCTGTGGACTGAAAGGTCCCAGGTTCGATTCCAGTCAAGGGCATGTACCTTGGTTTCGGGTGCATCCCCAGTGGGGGGTGTGCAGGAGGCAGCTGATCAATTATTCTCGCTTATCGATGTTTCTCTCTATCCCTCTCCCTTTCTCTCTGTAAAAAATCAATAAACTATATATTAAAAAAACACACAACACAATAGGAGCCTAGGCATCAGGAGGGCAGCCCACTGCCATCACCGCCTGCCCTGCCTTCTCCAGCCCCTTGCCCCATTAGGCCCCCTCCTGGAGGGGCAGCAGCCCTGCCTCTGCTTTAAGTGGGTCCTGGGCAGTCCCAGTGTCAGAACCACCATTTGCTATTTGCTTCTGGGCTATGGAGGGGTGGGAGGCCAAGGGAAGGAGGAGCAGGCCAGAGGCTCCCATCCAGAGCCTGCTGGAGAGCCAGGGATTGCTACACACACACACACACACCCTCAACTCCTAGGCCAAAGGTGGGGTGAGTTCCCTTGACTTTCCCTTAGGGCAGCAGTTTTCAGCGGGCCTGCAGCACGCAGAGGCCCACTGTTGTGCCGCAAGAATTTTAAAACTCGTGCAATACCTGACTGTTTAGTCAGAGCCTTTGACCTCTTTTCCCTTTGATTGTCAAATAAAAAAAAAAATGACAACAGCCAACACAACAATAGCCGTCCAGTGTGAATGTACCAAATGTTACCTATTTGTCAGATCGGCAAAAAATACCATGTATTTTGTGGTGTGCCACAGAATTTTAACAGAATTTTTATGTGTGTCATGAGACGAGAAAGGTTGAAAATCGCTCTCCTCGGGGAATACTGTCCACCAGTCAGTTTTCAAGACAAAGCCAACCAACCGAGTTCTTTGACCCAACATAGTTGCTCCCTCTCCAGGCCAGGCTGGGGTGGCCTGGGCCTCAGGCAGCCGGGTTCCGCCCTCCAGGCCTCCGTAGTCCTGCACCAGCTTCAGAACAGCCCTCTCCTCCCTGTCTGGCACTCAGCCCTTCCCCCACCCAGCCGCAGACACAGGAGTCCTCTCTTCTGTGGTTCCAATCCCAGTCTCTGTGGTTCCTGCTTTGCTCAGAGCTGGCCCCTGTGAGGGAAGAAAGCCTGGGCATGGAGCAGTGGGGCAGGGGCACCTCCTTTCCAGGCCTTTCAGTTCCCTTGATGCCAGGGATGGCCCTTTTTTGACTAAGTCTCTACTTTTAACTATTGGGTGTGGGGTGGAGGTTGTGGGCGTCGATGTTTTCATCTGCCTACCTTCCTGAAAGACTCATCAGGCAGAGGGATTTACCCCAGAGCTCTTGGCTGTGGATTCTCCCCACTGCCTGCCACCCACCCTTCCGTCATCCAGTCCTAGAATTCCCCTCAGCTTGGCTTCCTGGGGGTTGAGGAGGCCTGACCTCAGTCCTCCTGACTTCCAGTTCCGCTTAGATCACAAAACTGAACTCCTACCCAGGTCATGAGCCCGGGGTGTCCACCCTACAGGTGAGACTAGGGGCACGGAGAGTTTCCTGCACACTCAGGCGAATGCCACAGCAGGCTTCCTGCAGGCATTGGCTGAGGCATCAGCCAGTGCAGGTCAAGGCAAGCATTCGTCTGTTGGAGAACAGCCCACGCCTGCAGTACCTTTCTCTGCTCCCCTCTGGCGGACCAGGGGTTAAACTTCACTCCTTCTACCCCTGAGGTGGAGCCCTCAGAGCAGGTGGTGCTAGGGTGACTGGCCAGGCCTATTGGCTGGGGAAAGGGTGGGTTGTTTACATCTCAGGCCCTACCTCCATCATCCTTGGGGGATCACTTCCCAAAACCATGTTGCAATTCTCTCTCTTCCTTTTTTTTTTTTTGTTTAAAGATATTTTTTATTATTTTTTTTACTGGTTTCAGAGAGGCAGGGAGAGGGAGAGCTGAAACCGGTTTGGCTCAGTGGATAGAGCGTCAGCCTGCGGACTGAAGGGTCCTGGGTTCGGTTCCGGTCAAGGGCATGTACCTTGGTTGCGGGCCCATCCCCAATTGGGGGTGTGCAGGAGGCAGCTGATGTTTCTAACTCTCTATCCCTCTCTCTCTTCCTCTCTGTGAAAAATTAATAAAATATATTTTTTTTAAAAGAAAGAAAGAAACATCAATGATGCCTCCTGCATACCTCCTACCTGGGATCCAGCCTGCAACCTGGGCGTGTGGATTGAACTATGACCTCCTGGTTCCTAGGTCAATGCTCAACCCCTGAGCCACACCAGCTGGGCCCATTATTGCAGTTCTTGCCCCTGCAGGCTCAGGTCCCCAATCAGCTGCTTCTGAATTACCTCTAGCCCCTATGCAAGAGTGCTGTTTCATCAATGGGGCGTGTGCCTTGAAATGAAGGGCCACATGGAGATTTATCCTAATAACCTAACAGCTGTAGCCTCAAGCTCCCATCCCAGGCAATGTGCAGCCCCTCTGGACTGCTTAGGAGAGCAGCACTGGATCAAGGACCAGCTGTCAGGGTAGCATCTCCCTGTAGGAAAATCCAAGTATTTTCATATCCCGTATATAATTTGGCTCATTTTACTTTGCAGGCTTTAGGAAAATATTCCATTGCTCTTACAATAAAGGCTGATTTTTTTTTTCCAGAGGGTTTACAGATTTTGTTTTGTTAATCTTCACCCAAGGATATTTTTCCATTATTTTACTTTTTTTTAGAGAGTGGAAGGGAGTGGGAGAGACAGAGAGAAACATCCATGTGAGAGAGACACATTGATTGGTTGCCTCCCAAATGTGGGGACCAGGGATTAGGGCCTAGGATCAAGCCTGCAACTGAGGCACAAGGTATGTCCCCTTGACCAGAATCGGAATCGAACCCAGGGCACTTCAGTCCGAGGTGACGCTCTAGCCACTGGGCAAAACCAGCGAGAGCTGTCCTTTCAATCAAACACCAAAAATCTAACTTTACTTTAAGGCGCAGGGGTGAGGGTTATAAAAGCCTGTGAATTCATTTGGTCTGGCCCTGCCTCGACATTAGGGGTGAGTTAATTAAATGTTTGGCCAGCAATAGCAGGCTAGTTTTTGTTTTTTGTTTTTAAATATATTTTATTGATTTTGTACAGAGAGGAAGGAAGAGAGAGAGTTAGAAACATCGATGAGAGAGTTATCAATCAGCTGCCTCATGCACACCCCCTACTGGGGATGTGCCGGCAACCAAGGTACATGCCCTTGACCGGAATCGAACCCGGGACCCTTCAGTCCCCAAGCCAACACTCTATCCATTGAGCCAAACCGGTTTCGGCTAGCAGGCTAGTTTTTAAGTTGATCATTTTGTATGGCCCAAGAATGTTATAAATATTCAAATGAGTGTTATAAATATTCAAATGGCCCTTGGCAGAAAAAAATGTTCCCCATCCCTGCTTTCATATGTCAGCGTTAAATTATGGACCATTTACCACATACCTGAAGTAAAATACAGTCACCAAGAACCCACTTCACTCCCATCTTCCACTCCCCCTACGTGATCCTGAAATGGACAGTGCGGGTCCCAAGACCTAAGTCAGGAGCCGTTTGGATGGAAACCGGGCAGGATCCTGGCTCCGGCTGCGTCACACTTCTCACCACTCGCAGAGGCCCCGGCTTCCCCTGTCAGCAGCCAGCCTCAGCCCAGGCTCTTTTTCTGCCCTCCTTTCTTTAAAAAAATCTCAGCTATCAGAGTCCTGGAGGCTTGGCATCCCCCTCCCATGAGGGCCTCCTGCCAGGCTCCAGAGTGGAGGCCCTCAGCCTCTCCCCTGTCTCCTGCCCTGAGAAGACACCTGAGAACTCAGTTAAACTCGGTTCCCAGGAAGACCGCTGCAGCCGAAGTCCGGAGCTGAGGCCTGCAGCTCCAAGAGGACAAGGCACACTGGGGCTGGGGCCAGCATTCAGGTCCAGCCCTGGAGCTCCTCCAGACCCACTGCCAGAGGCAGGCTGGAGGCTCACTGCCCTTTCCTCAGCAAGCGGGGGTGCGTGCCAGCTGACGGAGGAGGCGGAGGCTTCCCTCGGGCCGGTGGGGATGCTCTAAGCCACATCCCTCTCCCTGCAGGCCTGGTTGCAGCAGTATGGCTACCTGCCCCCCGGGGACCTGCGGACCCACACGCAGCGCTTACCTCAGTCACTCTCAGCTGCCATCGCTGCCATGCAGAAGTTCTACGGTCTACGAGTGACGGGCAAAGTAGATACAGACACCATGAAGTAAGTGCTAGACCCTGGCAGGGATTCTGCCCGACACACACTGACCAAACCCTGAGCTACCGTAGAAGCTGCTCCCTGAACGCCTGGCTCGTGCCCCTCTACCTCATTGCCGCATGCTGATCCTGAGCCTGTTATTCACCCTGACCGTCCTCACACCGACCCTGGGGCCAGATAGTCCCCCTGTCTTCCAAAGACCTTGCTCTTTCACACGCTATACTGACCTGTCTTCACACTTCAACCACCCCAGGGCCATGAAGCGCCCCCGCTGTGGTGTTCCAGACAAGTTTGGGGCTGAGATCAAGGCCAACGTTCGAAGGAAGCGCTACGCCATCCAGGGCCCCAAATGGCCGCATAACGAGATCACTTTCTGGTGAGTCTACCAGGCAGGTGGCCTTCCTCACACCAGGTTCCCCTTCCCTGTCAGTTTGTGCTTAGAGACTCAGAGGCGTCTTGCCACACTCGCCTCTTCCTGGGATGCATCCTTGGACGTGAGGAGAAAAACGCTGTCACCCTGAGAGAGATACAGCCTGTAAGGGAGAAGGGGTACACCCCAGGCCACAAAGCCAAAGCCTAAGGGCCCCGCAGCTCTCAGTACTTGAGGCAAAGGCACCCTGAGGTGGCAAAGGTGGTGGCTGAGCAAGTTCATTCAGACTTGGGAGAGGACAGGGAAGGAGAATGTTGTCCCTTGTAATCCTAACATAACTCTCATCCTCTCCCCACGTGGCGGGACCTCAGCATCCAGAACTACACCCCCAAAGTGGGCGAGTATCGCACATACGAGGCCATCCGCAAGGCGTTCCGCGTGTGGGAGAGCCACACACCGCTGCGTTTCCGAGAGATCCCCTACTCCTACATTGAGAACGGCCACCAGCATGCCGACATCATGATCATGTTTGCCGAGGGCTTCCACGGCGACAGCACGCCCTTTGATGGCGAGGGTGGCTTCCTGGCACACGCCTACTTCCCAGGCCCCAACATCGGAGGCGACACCCACTTTGACTCTGCGGAGCCCTGGACTGTGGAGAATCAGGATCTGAATGGTGAGCCCTCGGACTCTTATTCAACGATCATTGGTACAGGGTTCTCCTGCCTCCCCCCAAAACCTCAAACCCCCAAATCGCAGGGCCACAAGGGACTGCCAAAATCTCCAGGTCTGACTTCCAACAAAGCAGGAATCCAGGGTTTTTGTGGGGTTTTTTTGTTTTGTTTTTTTAGTATATTTTAATGATTTTTTACAGAGAGGAAGAGAGAGGGATAGAGAGCTAGAAACATCGATGAGAGAGAAACATCAATCAGCTGCCTCCTGCACAACCCCCACTGGTTGTGTGCCCACAACCAAGGTACATGCCCTTGACTGGAATCAAACCCGGGACCCTTCCGTCTGTAGGCCGAAGCTCTATCCACTGAAACAAACCGGTTAAGGCAGAAATCCAGTTTTAAACTATTTATATGTGGTTCCTTCTCTCACCGAATAATTGACTTCTCGGTCAAAGACTTCCTAGTCTCCCCATCACCCGCTTACCCGACAGATCTCACCCTGGGAGGAAAAGGCCCCGATAGAGACCTCAGCTTCCCTTCACGCAAGTCTCGTGGGCTCGGGATCTAGTCCCCGAGCCCGCTCACCTCCTCCCAGAAGAGCATGGTGGGTTGGTGGCTTTTGTGAGGCAGGCTGGGTGTGACACTAAAGCCTCTGATGGGAAGGCTGGGAGCCTGCGGGGCGGGACCCAGGCTGCCGTGCTAACCTCTCTCCTCTCTCCTCCCTCCAGGGAATGACATCTTCCTGGTGGCCGTGCACGAGCTGGGCCACGCCCTGGGCCTCGAGCACTCCAGCGACCCCTCGGCCATCATGGCCCCCTTCTACCAGTGGATGGACACGGAGAACTTCGTGCTGCCCGATGACGACCGCAGGGGCATCCAGCAGCTTTACGGCGAGTGACCTGTGGCCGCCTCTGCTCCTTCCTCGTCTGTGTGTTCTTGGCCTTCGTATCTCTTCCCATCTCCCCACCGCCCCCTCCTGACGCTGCCTCTGTCTGCTCCCACGTCTCAGTCCCCCTCGTCTGTCCTTTCTCAGCTGATTGCCTCGGCCTCTCGCCCCTTCCCAAGAGTGTTGTCTGCCCTTATGCCTGTCCTTTCCCCTCCCTCTGCCGCCAAGTCTGAAGGGCCCCCCTGTTCTCCGCCCCCAGGGAGTAAGTCAGGCCCCACCAAGATGCCCCCTCCGCCCAGGACCACCTCCCGGCCCTCTTTCCCCGATAAGCCCAAAAACCCCACCTTCGGGCCCAACATCTGCGACGGGAACTTTGACACCGTGGCCGTGCTCCGCGGGGAGATGTTTGTCTTCAAGGTGAGAGGAGGCCGCGGGCTGGTCTGGAGGACACAAGGGCTCCGTGACCGGGAGGCAGGGTGGAAACGGCAGCAGGAGGACTAAATACTAAGGCCGAGGCTGGGGGGGTGGGGGGGGGCGCAGGGAGGGGCATGGTGGGGGGAGCTTTGGGAACTGGATCAGAGGATAAGTGACAAGACATCATGAGCTCTTACGTCGACTGCCTCCCAGGAGCGCTGGTTCTGGCGGGTGAGAAACAACCAAGTGATGGACGGGTACCCCATGCCCATCGGCCAGTTCTGGCGGGGCCTGCCTGCATCCATCAACACTGCCTACGAGAGGAAGGACGGCAAGTTTGTCTTCTTCAAAGGTAACCAGGCCTTACTTAGTCTCTGAGTGTGCGGGGAGTCCCCCTGGGTGGGCAGATGCCACTTGACTCCTCCACGGACCCTGGAAACCGGGTGGAGCCTCCATCCTGCCCTCTGTCTCCCCAGGAGACAGGCACTGGGTGTTTGACGAAGCTTCCCTGGAGCCTGGCTACCCCAAGCCCCTTAAGGAGCTGGGCCGAGGGCTGCCTGCCGACAGGATTGACGCCGCCATCTTCTGGGTACCCAATGGGAAGACCTACTTCTTCCGGGGAAACAAGTAAGACCTTAACCCCTGGGCCCCAGGCCTGCATCCTCAGCTACCGGATCCCTTCAGTCCTGGAGGGAGACCCACTCTGTGCCTGGGCGGGTTCCCTGGAGAAGGAGCTGGCTGAGCCTCTGTGGTTGCCTAGCGATGAGCAGCCTCCACTGGGGGCCGAGTGAGTGGGAAGTGACCGGGTCACCATTGCAGACCTGGTCATTTGACGCCTCCTGCCCCGGCACCAGGCCTCCGCTCCGGCGGCCTCGCACTGTCATTAAGGGCCGCCAGTGGCTCCTTGCAGCCCGGCCCTCCCTCCCACCCCCACCTTCCGCTGCTTCCAGCTGCAGGCCCTCATTACCCAAACCCCTGGCCACAGCCACTCTTACCTCACTGGTGGACTCAGTCCCGGGCCCTGCTGCCCTCTGAGGAAGGGCCTCGTGTCCAACCACTTCCTTCCTGTCCTCTGCACCAGGTACTACCGTTTCAACGAGGAGCTCAGGACGGTGGAGAATGACTACCCCCAGAATATCAAGATCTGGGAAGGCATTCCCGAGTCTCCCAGAGGGTCCTTCATGGGCAGTGACGAAGGTGAGAAGGGCATGGGCCGTGTCTGTGCGGGGAGGATCGGAACAACGAGTTAAGAGAGAGGAAGAAGAAAGATGGAGGGTATTGTGGGGAGATAATGACAGTGATAATGACTGCTCCCACTTTTCAGCCCATCTCTCCTTTGCCGTGGGCCAGTCACTGGGCTCATGCTTCCCATGTGTCAGACCCCATAGCGCCCACCACTCCTCCCGCCTGGTGCTAGAATCACCCCGTTTCCAGCTGAGGAAACTGCTGTGAGGAGAGGTGGGAGGTGAGCTCAGCCAGCCCCACCCTGACGGATCTCCTTTCTGCTCTTCCCTCCGGGTCTGCTGGGTGCCGCCCACCCGTGTCCTCTCGGCCACCTTCTCGCTGCCCCTGCAGTCTTCACGTACTTCTACAAGGGGAACAAGTACTGGAAATTCAACAACCAGAAGCTGAAAGTGGAGCCGGGCTACCCCAAGTCCGCCCTGCGGGACTGGATGGGCTGCCCGTCGGAGGGCCGGCCGGACGGGGGCGCTGAGGAGGAGACGGAGGTGATCATCATCGAGGTGGATGAGGATGGCGGTGGGGCGGTGAGCGCGGCCGCGGTGGTGCTGCCCGTGCTGCTGCTGCTGCTGGTGCTGGCCGTGGGCCTCGCCGTCGTCTTCTTCCGGCGCCACGGGACCCCCAAGCGGCTGCTCTACTGCCAGCGGTCCCTGCTGGACAAGGTCTGACCCCCACCGCTGCCCGCCCCCTCCTACCACGTGGACTTGGCCTCTGAGGGCCAGTGGCAGCAGATGGCGGTGGGTGGGCTGCTCCCACCCGACCCAAGCTCTCCCCCCACCCTGCCTCCCTCCTCTGCTCCACGGCGGGCCCCTCCCACCTCGACCCTGGCATTGCTTCTTCTCTAGACCGGCCCCCTGAGGGCTGGACAGGGGCCACCCCTTCCCGCCCCTGCCCCTCCAGGGCCCCTGTAGCCTGGCATGTGCCCAGCCCCGTCTGAATGTCTTGGCTCTGCACTTGAAGGCAGGACCCTCAGACCTCACTGGTAAAGGTCAAATGGGGTCACCTGCTCCTTTCCATTCCTTGACATACCTTCAACCTCTGAACTCTGACCTCAGGAGGCTCTGGGCACACCAGCCCCGGCAGGGCCCCAGGTGTACCCAATTGGCAGCCTCCCCCCACTCTTCTTTTGTTGGGGGAGACCCTGTGAGAGGCTGAGGAGATGGGGGCCACATTGCCACCTTGTAAGACCTGGGGAGGAAAGTTCAGAGAGGATCAATCTTCTGCCTCTCCCCCTCATTCTGCTCCCCAAGAACTTCATGGAAGGAGCCTGAGCCATTAAGGAGGTAACTGAGGCTGCAGAAACCCCCGACAGCCCTACCCTCCCAAATGTCAGCCTTGGATGGGGATGTTGAGGTTGGAAGAGCTGAGGCCTGGGAGTGCAGATACGGGGTGTGTCTCTGTAGGAAGAGACTCGGTCCAGAGCCCTGGGGGTGAGCCTCAAGGCCACGGAGAAAGGACCTTGCAGGTGCCAGGGGGGATAAGAGGGACCAAAAGGAGGTTCAGCGGGAGTGGACAGCGGGAGGTGACGCGCTGGAGGTGGAGCAGGCTAAGCCGTTAGGGACGCACAGGGTGGACGTAACTGAGGGAGGCACGTTTTCCTGGAGCTGGAGCCCATGAAAGGCACACCTGCTCCACCTCGTGCCTTCCCTCTGACCGGAGAGCACAGAGGGGAAGGGGAAGGAGCCCAGGAAAAGGAGCAAAGATGGCACGTCTGGGGACTGGCAGCTGTCCCTTAGAGAGAGTAGCTACCTAGTTAGAGAGCAGAGAGCTCCCAGCGGTAGGAGCACCGAGTCAGCAGGCCTCAGAGAGAGCAGGTGCCTGAGCATTTCTTGTTTCTTGGTCAGGTTACCTCATCACTTCCTGGTGCCCCCACCCCTCCACCCATCCTTTCTGTGTCCTGCTCTCCCTCACCTCCCCCCTTCCCCAGCCCATCCATTTGAAGTCTCCTTCAGCCACCGAAGGTGGTCATGGTACTGGGGACTTGGGAAAGTGAGAGACCCTTCCGGGAGTGAAAAGAGAGGGATGTCAGGGGTGGGGCATTGGGGGGGTTGGGGGGAAATGGGATGAACGGTGCTGGCAGTTCGGCTAAATTTGTCTTGTTTGGGTTTTTTGTTTTGTTTAATGTATATTTTTATTATAATTATTATATATGAATTCCCTTCAAATCGTTCCTTTTTGTTAACAAGGGGCATGGGGAGGGTTTGGGGTGGGAGGGCAGAGGCATTGACCCCAGGAACCTGCAGGGCGGGGCTGGGTCAGTGCCCTTTAAGGATATTTTTTACCTTGTTCAACCTTTCCACAAAAAATAAATGGTGTTTCACATTCCTTGTGTGGCTTCAGTTCTCTCCTAGGGTAAACGGGATGTGGCTATGAGAACAAAGAGAAAAGGGGAGTCCTAACCAGTTTGGCCCACTGACTGAAGAATCCCAGGTTCAATACCAGTCCAGGGCACATACCTCAGTTGCAGGCTCAATCCCCGGCCCAGTCAGGGTTCATGCTGGAAGCAACCAAATGATGTGTCTCTGTCACATCAGTGTCCCTCCCCTCCTTCCTTTCACACTCTCTAAAAATCAATGGACTCTTCCTGATTTGAGTTTTGGAAGATTGTATTTTTCTAGGAATATGTCCACTTCATTAAGGTTGTCCTATTTGTTAGAATAGAGTTCTTTATAGTATTTTTCTATGATCCCTTGTATTTATATGGGGTCAGTTGTTACTTCATCTCTTTCATTTTGGATTTTCTTTATTTGAGTCCTCTATGTTTCTTGGTGAGTCTGGCTGGAGGTTCATAAATCTTGTTTATGAAATGGATATGTTCCTTAAAAAATACAATCTTCTAAAACTCAATCAGGAAGAATCAGAAAACCTGAATAGACCAATAACTACTTATGAAATTGACACAGTAATAAAAATTTTTTAAAAAATATATTTTATTGATTTTTTTACAGAGAGGAAAGGAGAGAGATAGAGAGCTAGACACGTCGATGAAAGAAAAACATCATCGACCAGCTGCCTCCTGCACACCCCCCACTGGGGTTGCACCCGCAACCAATGTACATGCCCTTGACCGGAATCGAACCTGGGACCCTTCAGTCCGCAGACCGATGCTCTACCACTGAGCCAAACCGGTTTTGGCAGTAATAAAAAAATTTTAAAAACATCCAACAAACAAAAGCCCTGGTCTGGACAGCTTCACAGAGAGTTTACCAAACATTCAAAGGCAAACTAGCACCTATACTCAAAACTATTCCAAAAAAATTCAAGAGGAAGGAATACTTCCATGCTCTTTTTAAGAGGCCAGCATCCTAATTCCAAAACCAGATAAAGAGACTACAAAGAAAGAATTGCAGGCCAATATCCCAGATGAACATTTATGCTAAAATCCTCAACAAAATATTAGCAAATCATTAAAAAGAGCATACACCGTGAGCAAGGGGATTTACTTCAGGGCTGCAAGGCTGGTACAGTAGCTGCAAATTAATAAATGTGAAACCACATTAAAAAATTGCAAAACAGCCAAAACCAGTTTGGCTCAGTGGTAGAGCGTTGGTCTGCGGACTGAAAGGTCCCAGGTTCGATTCCGGTCAAGGGCATGTACATTGGTTGTGGGCACATCCCCAGTGGGGGGGTGCAAGAGGCAGCTGGTCGATGTTTCTCTCTCATCGATGTTTCTAACTCTAGCTTTCTCCCTTCCTCTCTGTAAAAAAATCAATAAAAATATTTTTTTTTAAATTGCAAAACAAAAATCATATGATCATATCAATTGATTCAGAAAAAGCATTCGACAAAATCCAACACCCTTTTTTGGTAAAAACTCTCAATAAAGTGGGAACAGGGGACTCATACCTCAACATGATAAAAATCATATATGACAAACCTACAACAACATCATACTCACTGGGCAGAAACAAACTCTTTCACCTAAGAATAGGATTCCCCCTTTCACCACTCATGTTTTACATAGTAATGGAAGTGCTAGCCATAGCAATCAGACAAGAAGAAATAAAAGGCATCCAAACTGGAAAAAAGGAAGTAAAACTGTGATTATTCACAGATGACGTGTTATTATACATAGAAAACCCTAAAGACTTCAAAAAACTACTAGGTTTAATAAGTGAATTTGGCAACTAGCAGGATACAAAATTAACACTCAGAAATCTATGGCATTTTTATACACCAATAATGAACTCACAGAAAGAGAAACTAAACAATTCAATTTACCATTGCAACAACAAAAATTAAGATACCTTGGAAAAAACTTAACCAAGGAGGTAAAAGACCTAGACTCGGAAAACTACAGGTCATTGAAAAAACAGATAGTAAGATATAAACAAGTGGAAGAATATACCAAGTTCATGGATTGGTAGAATCAACACCATTTACATGTCCATACTACCCAAAACAATCTATAGATTTAATGCAATCCCTATTAAAATATCAAGAGCATATTTTACAGACCTAGAACAAACTCCAAAAATTTATATGGAACAAAAAAAAAAAAAAGATCCCAAATAGCCATAGCAATCTTGAAAAAGAAGAACAAAGTTGGAGGAATCACAACACCAGATATCAAGTTACACTACAAAGCCACTGTACTCAAAACAGCTTGGTTTTGGTATAAGAATAGGCATATATTGCCGGGACCGGTTTGGCTCAATGGATAGAGCGTCAGCTTGGGGACTGAAGGGCCCCAGGTTCGATTCTAGTCAAGGGCATGTACCTTGGTTGTGGGCATATCCCCAGTAGGGGGTGTGCAGGAGGCGGCTGATCGATGACTCTCTCTCATTGATGTTTCAAACTCTATCTCTTCCACTCTGTACAAAAATCAATAAAATATATTTAAAAAAAAAAAAGAATAGGCATATAGACCAATGGAATAGAACAGAGAACACAGAAATCGACCCAAGCCATTATGCTCAATTAATATTTGACAAAGGAGGCAAGAATATATAATGTGT